AGTTCGCGCTAGACCAACTGTTGCAAGTAACACCGGGAACCCACGTTGCACGCTGCGGAGGTCGTTAACGTGTTTATACAGCAAGTTGGGATTTTTACTGAAGTTCGCCGCTAAGTTCGGTCGCTGCTGGAGTTTGTCTTCGCGGAGCAAATTGATCCAGTAGTTTCACCTAGTTGTGTAAGCACCCCAAAATCAGGTTACTTGAACAGACTGTGTAAGCGAGGCAGTCTGAGCCCCTGAAGACAATGTTTTTTCTAATACGGCTCCTCAGAAACGAATTCACTTGCTTCGAGCGAAGGACCTTGCTTTCTGACGCATTCGCCATTACCTCAGTAAATTGCGTGACGAACAACATCCAGGCGACATCTGACGGCTTCTCGGTCAGGAAGGACCAGTCAGTTTCTTGAACGAGGTTGGACAGGTTATCGTCATGTGTAACAACATAGTTTTCCTCGTTCTTCTTACTGATTTAGTCCGATTAACTGATGTAACGAGAGAAAAACATCGCATGCTCACTACGGCGAAATGGTGCTTTCATGGTCACAGTGTATACCATTAGTTAATCGTCGGATAGCACAATGTCCAATACAGAGGGTGGTCAACCGCTCGGAATTGCGTGGGAGTGGTGATGTCTTTGTACAGAGGTACAACGGCAAGTACCGCTCGCAAATCAGCCTTAAATTGTTCGCTGTGTGATGCTGGAATTTCGACTGCGTGCAAGCCGAAGCCCCCACCAGAAGGAGGTGACTGTATGGTCGTGCAAGGACTCGTTTCATCGCACAAGCTAGGCAATCATTCATTTCCAACGTGGACACTGGAGGGGGTAAACTACTGCTAGTAAACACACATCACCACGCCTTAGGTGCATACACCACCAAAGAGAATCGGCGACTCTCATTGCTGGGTCCTCGAGGATATCAACATGCAGGTCGGATCGATAATACAGGAGCACTCCTTTTCCTCTGCTAGATCGATCATTTCGTATTGGAAGTGATGCCAGGTAGTGCAATCTCAGCATCCGTGATCCCTGTGTTCAGCCATGTTTCGCTGACCATGACTTGGCCCCAATGCGCGGAGACCTGACGAATACGAAGTTCGGTGAGCTTGCTGAGAATACCTTGTGCATTGGTATACAAGCAGTAAGGGTATCGGTGCTCAGAAGCGTGTTTGTGGATGCTGATTCCGACGACATTCTATACCGACCCTTGGAGGTCGACTGCCGGTCGTTATTTTGTGGGACTGATGACGCAGGCCCTATGGTCAATTCAGGTTGCTGTATAGACTTATCATCACCAACAAGAGGGTGACCATCCTGTCCTCCTTCAGCTGTCTGTATGTTTTGGCATTGTTGCCGTTCTGAGCTACACGGTGACAGAATTGTTTCTGTGTTGCTTGCTCAGCGTTACATAGTCTATCTGTGGCCTGGTGCCTATTGCCTCTACACGTATTCCGGATATCAGCATTTTACGCTTTTTGTGCCTCATTTCGATCACATATTCTGCCATCAGCTCGGAGTGCCATGATACTTGCATCACTCGGAGCGCATGCCGTTTTCGAGTGAGAGCACTTTACGAACAAAACGACATTTATCCCAGTCATGCAGGTTAGCCTGTGGCTGGGTTAGTGACTGTAGCTCGTGGACACCGTGAACTAGGATAAATTTTGTGTCATGTTTTTTAAAGAAGTCATCCGGATTTTGTTTGTGTTCATGGCGTTCGCTCCAAGGAACATTTAGAAATATGCGAACAGTGCATTTGGTGCTACGGAGGCGAGTGGCTGATAGCAGAAGTGCCTCTGCACCATTACCTGACTGAAATATTACCTGGAGTAACCGCGGTTCGCCATGGTGTACGGAGTTTGTGTGACGGAGGAGTAGCATCATATTGACTGGTTTAGTCTGAACCTCTATTAGTTGAAACAGGGCGTCCCACTGTCTAATATGCTCCTTTTGGAAGGGACCAGTGACCGCTTTCTTCGGTTGGACAAAACGATAGGGCCTTGAGTCCCATGGTGGTATTGGCAGTAGTAACTCGTTTGGCAGCTGGCGGGATTGTGATGAGAGGTGCCTCCGTCATCTGGGTAACAACGAAGGATGCGTATGTTGTCGGGCTTTTAATAGTGCTCAGTGTGGTGGGTGATTCTGTTAAAGAATATGTGGCGAACGTATCTTTATGAGCAGCCGCTAGTGTCGGGGTGGCTAAGTTTGGATCGTTACTCTTACACTGTTCTGAATTGGAGCTTGCTTTTGAGCATCGAGTTCAAGGAACTGATTGGTCTGGTTCATCTGGGATAGCCTTCACGGCTGCTGCCTGCTCTACGATCTTTGTCCGCCTATCACACTTCTGCGACAAGACACTTATACATCTGACGAGTGGAAGAGATCTACACTCAGTGCAGAATCAGAGAGAATCGGTCGTACTATTAAGCTTTTTATCTGACTGAGTCTATGTTGAGCACCTCGAAAACGGAAGTATGTTCGGCAGTTTCTGAATTCTATTCCAAATTGCACAAGTTTTACACAGCTGTCTACGCCACAACTAACGTTCATTTGGGAAGATTTGGGCTTAGCGTTCCGTGGGCAACCAGTATGTGCCATTGTGACTCTCAGCTCTACGAAAGTCGTGCGTTGCAACTACACTGGTATGCTACACGTAAAAGCTGTCGGTCAAGCTGGTGGTCTGGCAGACACTCGTTAAATTGCTGTAGAACAAATCCAAGATGCCTAGCACAGACGGTAGTTTGGCCAATCATTGAGATCTCCGACAGTAGCCGGAGAATATTCACCAAGTTCGCGCAGGTGGAAAACAACGCCAAAAGCGAAGTATTGGTGCACAATTCACACAGAGCAAACACGTATGACACAGTATTCCCAAAGCAAATCCAGCACGGTAAAGCAAAAGGCTGCAGCGTCTGTGGGTACAGCCGTGTCAGCATGCTGCTACAGAGATGGAATATTCCTGACTGCGCAAAATGCATTTGATGTCCAACTTCTCCCCGATCGATGCCAGTACAACGCAAAATGGATTGCTTGAATTGGAGCAGGAGTTAGCTTATGCCCAGATGTGCTTATGTGTTAAAGCCGTTGGCCAAAAGGTAAATGCTTTGCGTGTGATTGAACAGCCATAGGGCTTCGCATTTGCGCCTATTCGTGGCTAGGCAGGTTAAACTTAGTAATTGGCTTCCGATACATACGGCGTATTCGATAAACATTTGTGGAGAACGAGCTGCGAGTTTTAGCGTACATATTTTTGTGTTCTCTTTAGTAGCTACCCCATATAGGTGGGGTTCGATAGGTGACTGAGTTTAGTTGCAGATAGATCAAGCGAAACAATGTATACAGTATGTTTCAGGGTTTTTGTGAAGTGGTGACACTCATCGGCCTTCCATCGTTTTACACAGATGCAATAGTCCGAATGCATAATTGAGAAACCAAAATTAGGTATAACTATGCAAAGTCCCGGCTATATAGCTTGTTATTTGTAGTTAGGATCCCAAAAAGACGCATTCATATTAGGAACTAGCATGCGATCGGACCACTGTGAGACTGATGTGTACACCACTATGAACTGTGTCGGTCTCTTGCTGCTAAATGACGCATACTAACGGCGGTCACTGTTGTGAATTACTGGGATTACATCTGTCTAGATTATCCATTAAAGGATGACATGTCATTGCATAAAGGACAGGCAACATGTGTGTCACCAATTGAATAATCTATTCGGGTAGTCATTCCAGTTAATATCTCCAATTTACCGGGTTCGAGTGCCCAAATTTGTCCACCTGATGAGAACAAATCAATTCTAAACCGACCTTCTAGAGCAGTGCTTTCGAGCGGGCAACACCTAATATCTATTAAACTTATTTCTTACCTTAGTACTTTGGGATGGCTAATTTCCATCTGCTATAAGTAATCACTGTTGCTTGAAATCCCCGGTGTGGCTGCGCTTGATGTGCATGTTGACAAGGTGCCTACCTGTCTATTACCCACTACCTCGTCCATACTGGCTGCAGGAGACAGTTGGTCGTTGCTGGAGGGGACCGGGTGCACGGTTCTTGTGGCCGTGTTAGGCTCAAAGAGTGGCTCCATGCACTTAGTGTGGAGCGCTTTGTACTCTTGATTCCCCAAATACAGCGTGTTTGTGTTTCCCTGTGAAGGAGTGTGGGCCGGCTCCGTTGATGAAATCTGGCTCCCATCCACATGCCTCCCGGTCTTATTCCTTCGGGTTTACACTGGATATGGGGTGTGTGGTTGTAGCTGTGGGTGACGCGGCGCAAGTCACCCATGGTCCCTCTGTAGGCGCAGGCGTCTTGTGGCTTTCCACATTGACAGTCAAATCCGAAACCGGATGCCGCCAACCATAAGTATTCGCGATTCGTTTATTTTAAGGGTAACTAGAAGAAACTGTGCACAGTTTTCTTTGAAAGCCTGACTTTGAAGCGTGTAAAGCAACCACTGGACAAGATGAAGATTTCGGCCCACAACAAAGGGGGCACAAAATGCTTCCTAGAAATGTCTAAACAGAAATGTCAGAAGACGTAAGTTGTGAGATTACCCGGTCATTTCTTGCTTATCTCCTCAGTCACGTACAAGGCAACTAACAATTTGAAAACAAGCGAGGTCGGATGCGTTCGCTTGGTGGTCAGCTGATGGCCAAGTACTACTGCGGCACTACCATGGCAGGCTCAATTTTACTGCCAACTGCTTCTGTACGCACAGAGGCAGCCGCTCGCGATCAATTACGATGGCTCCAAGTAGCAGTGTTCTCTTAAATGTGAGAATTTGTAAGCAAACCACTTGAAAACAACCAGAACAAGTTGTCATCTATGTCGATTCCAAAGCTGCATATAATGTAGTGTAATGCTTCGGTGGTTAATTCAAACATTTGTCTTCCCTTGGAAAATGGTTAGCTGAACTTTCCAGCTACAAATACTAGAAAAAGCTGCCTTTTCACGCATGATACGATAGGTAACCTTTGTTAATGGCAATTGTGGCTACATACTTGTGATAACACTGTGGCCAAGTATGGTTTCCCTCCGTCAGCTTGGTTCGGTGCCACTACTTTGCGGCCCAAAATGAGTGAAGCGGCAGAAGGTACCTTGTCTTGGTCATAAACACGCCAGCGATTTCCTTTAAGGACTCTGAAAGGGAACGGCAACATCGAATGGCTTGTAACAAAAGTTTGATGAAAGTATATCACGCATCGCGAACACTCAGTTGTCATAAGAAAATGGCAATATATTGATCTTGCAGCACCTATGTCTGCCTCTAATTGATATATGTATGTTGAATTATATATCACATGAGTCATGTGTTTCCGGACAGGTAGATTAAATGATGTATTTAACTATTGCTCAAAAGCTAGATCAAACTGTGAGCAAAATACACTCAACTACTCAATGCGAGCGACTGGTAGAGCCTCACTGGAAAAGCTCCTTGCATATATCCCACTTGCCTCCAACTGGCATTCTTTGACACTAACCCTGTACGTCGTGATCATTAAGGAATATTCCTTTTTCAGTTAAGTGCCAGTTTCAACAACTGAGCAACGCGTTTGTTTATGCCCTTCCCTCGCAACTTGGAATAAGTACACGGTTCAGCAGTGGTCCTTCATGATCAGGAAACCTCTGAGAAGATGATGCCGGTATAGCTATGCTTGCAAATCGTGTTAAAAATGACACAGCAATTAAGATTGATAATTATTGGCCGATACTATTTAAGTTTCCTTGTTTACCAACTTGTCATCCTCTTGAACTTTAGATCAGCAGAGCAAAAAAGCTCCTAACAGATACAAAATTGTGTGCCATTGTTGCTGATGATGAACACTATTGATTTCGAAAGCAACGGAAGATATGTATCATCGATATCTAGAAGGTTAGAATCTATGTGCGCAGCCGCTGGCTAGCATATTATACCTCACACACGGCTCGTGTATTCCAGTAAAAGCCACCGTTTATTTAGCTCGGTAGAGCTTCGATATTTTTCAGGCTAGAAGATTTTGAACTGCCAACTTCTGATATGAGCTATTGTTGATTTAACCGCTTTCGGCCCCTTTGACACGTTACACCTGAGCAGGCGATTACACAAATTTTAATCTGCTTTCTCGAACAGGGGTTATGGTGAGACACTTCAGTTCTGCTGGCAGTGTGGGTATGTCCTATGCTTAATTGTTTGTGCCATTGAGTCAGAATGCCTTGGGGTGCATTTTCAACATAAAACTGATAAGAACGACGGATATCCTTCCTCTAAAAGTGGAGATCCATTCCGCATGGTCCGCCCAATAATCCTATTTTACATTACGAGAGCAAACAGCCGACGGTAAGGGTAAAACCAGGAAGATCCTGCTCTTCTATAAGATGCCTCAATGTCAAGCGACCGAAAGCACAGATTTGCAGCGGCAGCCACTGTACTCAAAGGGACTAACGAAGGTAGCTTGGGGTACCGTACATTAGTCCATCCCAATATCTGCTAGAATCCACAGCTGTCAAGACTTATCAACTATAACTAATAATTTGCAGTCCGCAACTAGACCCATTTCCCAGTCGGAAGAAGTCTCATGGCTGATGGATCTCACCGGATCAGTACATCTGATTGGGTGTATCTGCGGAACTGTGTACTAGGAGATCAAGTACCATAGAATGAAGATACATGAGTAGCCGTTGCAGTCTCGCAAATTAACAGCCTAAACTGTCCGTAACTAAGTGGCACTGCATTCGCTGAACGATCTTGGCATCAAGATTGGGAGATATGAGACTAAAATGCTTGATTTAGGGCTGTGTTCCCCATCGGTGACGATAAACAAGAACAGACTGACCAGTTTACCACAGATGAACAACTCAAGTCAATTCAAGGATGCATGTAATGCACAAATGACGGAAGTATTTTGAGCCGTAACACAAATGCCATCAGAATGAGGAAAGTATCAGTCAAGAAGAATGTAAAGACTTGAAAGGTTAGTGCAATAAAAAAGCTTTACCAAAATTCATTCAATTACTTCAATTCTTTATTTTTATCAAACTTCCTTCACTTCGTTCCAAAGTAACTGTTTCGAATGCACGCAGTACGGAAAACAAGTAGAAAAGTTTACCCAATATCTATGCATACGGACCAGATCCTCAACTACAGCAGCAATCATCCGGCAGTCCACAAACGCAGCTACTTGCGAACCCTTTACAAATGAGCGAAAACACAATGTAGCACATCGCAGATGAGACGGGCGGAGGAAGACCATATCTTTAGTCTGTTCAAACGGAACTCGTTCCCAAAAGGCTTCAATCTACAGTGAATCACACCACAAAGGGCTCCTCAGCACACGTCGGCAAATGAAACGGTTGAAAAGAGAGCGTAGCAAAACAAACAATGGCACGCCTGCTAGAGCATCACACGTCGTCTGATACAAGCAGTAAACTGGACGCCAAACAGACGATGGAGTGACTAGAATTCTATCTAACAACACATTGCACTTGCAAAGACCAAATTTACGAACGGATAAGAGGCACACCAATGGGATCGCCGATCTCTGGTCTGTTAGCCGAGGCAGTGATGCAGGCACTGGAAAAATAGCACTTCCGATCGCCGGACCAAAACTTTTGGTTCGATACTTAGACGACACCTTTGTCATTCACAAGCGTACCAAATCGGAGGAAACACGCGAACTAATCACCAGTGTGTTCGATGGCATCCAATTCACCAGGGAGGAAGAGAAAAACGAGCAGTTGACATTCTTTGACTTTCTCATCCGAATGACTGGTGCTGGACGATTGGGAACAACAGTCTACCGAAAATCCACGCATAGGGACCAGATCCTCAACTGCGGCAGCAATAGTTCAGTAGTTCAATAGTGTATGATGGGATAAAAAGCATAAGTTTGCAAGACCCACAGGATGGATTTGCAAAAGAAAATTAAAAGCAAAATGTTCCAACGTGGAACGTAAAGTATCAGTGATTAAACCATTGCACTTTATCAAACTGTGGTGCAACGTTTATCTTTAAGATGAAAGTAAGAGTCTTTCGAATGTCATCATGTCTAGTGCGTTCACCACATATCTTGGTAATGCATTCCAGTGAGAACAGATTCTAAGTGAGTAAAAAGACTTTCTACAATTTAGACGGGAGTGTTGCGTCATTAATTTCAGGCGATTGCATCGCCTTTGTTTGTAAGGGGCTAGGGTCGACGGTGATGTACATGGATGCTCAGTTTTATTTAATATCCGTATGTGAGAATAAGATCTCCGCGGAGCCGTCGTTATTCTGATGAGAACACACCGATTACACGAAGACTCAGCTCGTAATTTAGACCGGATAGTCCACGCGTTGCCTTTGTGGCTCTCATTTGGGGTTGTTCCAATAGACGAATGTCTCGTTTTAACCATGGACACCAGGCCTGAACTGCATGTTCAATGTGAGGGCGAATATAGGAGTTAATCAGCATTGGTACTAGCCCTCGCTCAAAGTTGCCGAGAGCTGGCCTCAAAAGTCTCAAGTTCAAGTTCGCTACACTTGCTACTTTCCAACATTGAGGCGAATAGCCAAGACTCCCTTGAACGATTATACCTAAGTCGCGTGCACAAGTCACGTGTTGCAGGACGTGTTGCACCAAAAGGTGTGTTGACGAAGTTGCTGGGCCCCCTCAGTAAGTGGCACTTTACAGGGTTCAGTGGAAGCTGGTTCCCTTTTGTCCATTCGTTAAACTGAGACAGGTCTTCCTGAAGATAGACACGCTCGGATGCTGAGCGTATTGCTCTCCATACTTTAGCATCGTTTGAAACTATTTGCATCGGAGATAGAATATCTGCTGGAAGGTTATTAATGTAGACTAAAAGCAGTAGCGAGCCGAGGACGGATCCTTGTTGTATACTACTGGAGACGCACAGAGTGAGTGTCGGCTACTCTTACCTTGATTGCTTTGTCGTGTGAGTAGTCTTCCAACCAGGTGAGCAGGGACCCGTTGAGATCGTGGGCAGCAAGTTTTAGAGGAGAACGAAGTGATTGGCCCTGTCGAATGTTTTAGAAAACTCAAAATAAATAACCTCTATGGGGACTCCTTCATCAGCCGCTCTCGTCCATGAGTCCCGAGCAAGCAGCAGCTTGATGAGGCAAGAATGTCTGCGTCTGAAACCATGTTGGGCCTTAGAAATTAGTTGTAGACTTTCAAAGTATCACGTCAGTTCATCGGCGATTATCGATTCCATCACCTTTGATAAAGCAGGAAGGAGAGTAAGAGGTCGGTATTTGGCAGGATCCGATGGCTTACCACGTTCCATTTTTCCACTCAGATGGGAATGTATGGGAGGCAAGCAGACCCTAGAAAAAGGTTGCGAATGGTACAGCTACGGTGGGAGCAAGGGTTTTCAGTATGTTTGAACAGATCATGTCGATTTCAGGGTCGTCGTACTCTCGGAGAGACTGTAATTTGCTTACAACAGCTGCTGGAGTAAAGATGACGCTGGGTAAGCCAACAACATTTGTTGGGAGTTGATAGGGCGAAGGTTCCATGGGATTTGTAGACACTGAGCCAAACTGCAGGAGTAGAGCGTTCGCGGCATCCACAACAGTAGTTGTTAGACCACCGGCCGTCTTGAGTGGTGGTATCCCGTGCTTAACCTTTCATTTTTTATCCACAAATCTGTATAGTAGTTTGGCGTTACTCGTAAATTTCAGCACCATGGTCTCTTGTCATGTGCGCCAAGACATTGTAGCACACCGCAGCTGAGACGGGCGGAGGAAGACTAAATCTTCAGTCTCTTCAAGCGGAACTCGTACCTAAATGGCTACAATCTACGCTGCCTCGCACTACAAAACGCTCCTCAGCACACCTCGATAAAGGCAACAGTTGAAAAGAGAGCCACTTTGCCTTATTTCAACGGAGTCTCTGAAATGGCAGCGAGGCTATTAGTATCTTTTGCGCTCAAAGTGGCACACCAGTCAACCAACACAATGCTCAGTGACTCTTCAGTAAACTGCAAACTCAGCAAAGAGGAAGAAACTGGTGTGATTTGTAAGGTTTACTGTCGGAACTGCGACAAATACGAGGGGACAGACTGTGAGAAAGCTTGGCACAAGACTACTTGAACCCAGCTTACCTATCCGTCACCGCGATCAGAACTCCCTGATGTCAGTGCAAATGAATGCCAAGACCCAT